ATATTTTCAGCGGGGACTAAATTAAAGAAGAGGTTAGCACGAGGAGATCCTGGAAAGAACCCATTGGATCGTGCTGCAAGAGACCACGATATTGCATACGCCTTATACAAAAATTTGAAAGACAGACACAAAGCTGATTGGATTCTTGAGAACCGAGCCTGGGAACGTGTAAAAGCACCTGACGCTTCACTAGGAGAAAAGACTGCAGCTTGGCTAACAACTACCGCAATGAAAGTTAAGCGAAAATTGGGTATGGGGCAGAAGAAATCATCTTTTCGACGAGGTGTTCTCACGAAAATCACAAAGTCCTTGAAGAAAAATGCTCCCACCACCACGACATTAAAAAAGTCTGCATTGGTTGCTCTTAAAGCGGCAAGATTAGCGGTGAAGAGTGCAGGTGGAAAACATAAAGTTCGACTACCGAGAATAATTCCGATCGAAGGCAAATCTGGGGGATTCCTACCCTTGATCCCCCTTTTCGCCGGATTAAGTGCCTTGGGGGCGCTCGCAGGGGGAGCTGCAGGTGTGGCCAAAACGGTCGTTGATGCCAAGAATGCACAAAAGAAATTGGAGGAAGACCATCGCCATAACAAAGCTATGGAGTCTTTGGGCAAAGGATTGTATTTGAGAAAAAATGCTAAAGGTGGTTATGGGTTGTACCTCAAAAAAAAAACTCAAAAAAACTAAACATCAAGCTACCCAAGAAAGCGCTTTATGATTATGAAATAAAGCAATATGCGAAGCTCTTGAACATACCTCATTTCCGAGGTGTCTTCATGCGTGACACTTTACCACGAGACGGTCCACGTAAAAGAGAATGCGCCGTCGTGAACTTAGATATTTCACAAAACAACGGAACTCATTGGGTAGCTTATAAAAAGATAAACAACAACGTTGAGTATTTCGATTCATTTGGTAACCTGAAGCCTCCACAGGAACTTGTTCGATATCTGAAAAACGCTAAAATTTTCTACAACAACGATCCTTACCAAACTTATAATCAAGTTAATTGCGGACAATTGTGTTTGAAATTTCTAAACAATAACAACAACAACAACGATGGATAATAAAACATTATCGGAATTTACATTAGAAGAGTTTGAGAAGAATATTCCGCCGCTGGAATATTTAATAAGCAATGTGAGACCTGCAGAATTATTGAGTATATGGCACAAACTGCCTGCAGAATACACATCCAATTTTGATCTTCAAATACGACTTCCATGCTATGTTCACTACAACAGACCTGATTGGACAACACATTGGGATGGACCGGCTACTGCTCAAGCAAATTGTTATTTCTGTAAATTATCCATTCGAAAATAAACAAAAAAAAAAACTTGAATAAATGCTTAGTACACAGCTATATTTTTTCATTCATCATGTCGCAGTTGTTGAGAGTCAATAGCACTACTCATATATTTTCATTTCGTCCTTCAACACCGATAGTGTTGGATCCGAAAAAAGATTATGAATTGGCGCTTAGGTCTTTTACTTCATACAATTCCATACCGAATATTGAAAAAGGAGATAAATTTTATTATATCGACCGGATAGGTGGTGGTGGTGGTCAATTAAAAGTCATCGAGTTTCCGACAGGTTGTTATGAAATTACCGACATAGAAACATTTATACGAACGCAAATGAATCTTGAAAATGAAGTTGCTCCTCCGGATGATTATTTTTCTCTAAAACCTAACAATAATACACTGCAATGTGAAATCTTTAGCAAGTATTATAAAATAGTTTTTACAGAACCGAATAATCTTGGACATCTATTGGGATTCTCGAAAAAAGTTCTTAATCCTGGTCAAAAGCATTCTTCTGATTTACCTGTAAACATAATAAAAGTATCAACCATACACTTTGATGCTAACATTACGTCGGGAGCCTTTGACGGAGACACGCCTGCACACACGATCTACGAATTTGCTGTGACAGCCGATCCTGGATACGCTATAGTCGAAACACCTGTAAATTTACTATATCTACCTGTTATACCGAAACAAGAAATAACCAACATCACAGTGTTGGCTTTAGATCAAGACGGTCGTCCTGTAAACTTTCAAGGTGAAACTAGTACTCTTGTGTTGGAGTTGAGAGCGAAGCGCAGATGGGATTAGTGATTATAAGACATAGTGGTGCTTCCAAGGCAACTTCAGTATTACCCCAAGCACCTAAGCGACGACATCTACTACTAACTACATCAAATATCCTGTTTCTACGCTCACTTGGATATCATGTCAACAACAACAAGAATCATGTACAAAAAGAGAAAAACTGAGGAGGCAGCAGCAGCAGCATCACATACTTCTCCGATGTTTGATCTATATCGATCTCCAGCATTCGATGAATCTATTCGCAAGGCTGAGTATAGATCTTATACGCCGTTCATCAAGTCATTTAATTGTAATGATGTTGTGGAATTTAGCATCAATCAAGTAGATTCGTTCTTTGCAATGAACGCTTCCCTTCTATCTATCAAAGGAAAAGTTGAAATAACTGGAGGAGGAGGAGCAGGAGATGTATCTTTAGCTCCAAACTTTGGTGCCTTCCTATTTGACTCTTGCACTTACAGTGAATCCGCTAGAGAAGTTGAAACAGTACGTGATCCTGGTATTGTAAGTACTGTCCGAGCTTACGTATGTTACAGTGAGGAAGACTCAAATCATATGGCTATAGCTGGATGGAACTATCCTTCAACACCTATAATGGCGTCAACACATAACAAGTCTTTTAGCTTGCTAATGCCGCTTAAACATATTTTCAACATTTTCAATGATTATCCTATGATTACGTGTGGCAGACAAACTCTCAGATTTGTGAGAGCTAGAAACGATAACGATTGTATCATTATCAAGGAAAAAACTGGAACGACGACGACAGCGAAAATAACTATTGAAAGCATGGAACTGAAAATCAAACATATTTACCCGAGTGATGATGTGAAAGAACAACTTTTGAAAGCTATTCAAACTGATAAGCCGATACTTATACCGTTTAGAAAATGGGATCTGAATGAACTGCCTGCAATTACCGCAGATGCGAGAAGAGAAATATGGTCAGTTAAAACTAGCACCGCAATCGAAAGACCACGTTTCATTATAGTATGTTTCCAAACCGGTAAACGTGACGTCGCAACCTCAGACCCTACCCTGTTTGATCACGTGAATGCTGCTAGTATTCGAGTATCTTTAAATGGTGAATACTATCCCAACGAACGTATGCAATTGGACTTTGCAAACAATCACTTTACTGAAGCTCATTTCAACTATAGCGACTTTCAAACCAGCTATACAACTTCTTCTTCTCCTCTGAAGAGATGTCTTTTAGATTATACCGCTTTTAAAAATCGCGCTTTGTTTGTTATTGACTGTTCCAAACAAGAGGAAACCATGAAATCATCAACTGTTGATGTTAGATTGGATATCGAAGCCGATACTGGCTTTCCAACCAACACCAAGGCCTACTGCATCATTATACATGACTGCTTAATCGAGTACTTCCCCCTCACCGAAGTTATTAAAACCATCTCGTAAGCAACGAAGGACTCTCAGTTCCGCATCAGACATCATGAGGATCGCGTTTGTTGACATTCAAGGCTTTACAGTTGACGGATTATTCGTACCTAAAGAACTATGTATCGAAATTGGTTTCAAGAAAAGTCATTACATCTTTACACCTCCGCAACCTTTTTCTACATTAAATACTAAAGACAAGAAAACTGTCGCTTACTTGGAGAAGAATTTCCATGGGCTTAAATATTCTTCCGGCGACGTTAAATATTCCAAGTTAAATGAAATAATTAAAAATAAGGTGATATATGCGGCTGACTATGTCTACGTTCGTGGAGAACAGAAAGCAAACTTTTTACTCAAGAAATGTCACATTTTTGGTGTTTTTCCCAACATTATTGATGTTTGCAAGTATGATGGTACACCGTGTGCTACTGGAAACTTTGTTGCTGATTCCAATCCATGCCACACCAACGGACAATTTTCCTGTACCCAGAGAAATGTTGAACGTCTACGCCACTGGTTTTCAAATATCATATTACCTATGTAGTTTTTTCTATTTTCAATAAAATATTAAACGTATTATTGTAGTTTTATTGAAAATACCTCTGGTTTGCGAAATAATTGTCAGAATGTCTATACTATTTTCATTTTGAACGGTATCATCCTGTATAATAATAACAGTACATCGTATACAGGTTATGAGACATTCTGACCGACCGACCGACCAGAGGAGCCCACCACGCTATTTAGGTCACGCCTTGCTATATACGATTTAACGATATACCGTCGGTCCATCGATCCGCTATTTTTCGATGCACCCCTGTATACACGTTGCCCCCCGTAATCCACGCCAACACCAGACAGGTGCGACATCGGCGCCATCTATGCGCGAGATGCCCAACCCATCAATGGCAGCTGTCCAATGACACATAGATTCCGTTTGGTTTGTACAGCGCCAAACAAATCGGCGCCATCTATGCGCGAGATGCTCAACCCATCAATGACAGGTCTCCAATGACGTATGACAGATGACGTTTTAACGCCATCTATGCGTGAGATGCCCAATGACGCATGACAGGTGTCCAATGACACGCAGATTCCGTTTGGTTTGACAGCGCCATCTAGCGGCGGAATCCCCAACTCATGAATTTCGATTACAGATTCCGTCCAACAACCTGTCAATGGCGCGCGACGCCAGCGCCTCTGGTGGCGGATTTTGGAAGTTTTGAGACCGAATCCCCATAAGACATCTACTCGCAAAACAGAAAGAAAGTTATTGCTATTTTTTTATATTTGTTATATACCTTTCTCCGCATGATCCTTTCATTTTTTATATGTTCCATTCTGAACGGTAGTGTATTGTTGAATGTTGAATAAGAGTTTGAGTGACTTTTATTATGAACAAGGACACTTCATACTATTTACTTTTAACTGGAATGAGAGGTAGTCGACTGACGAGCATGGATCCTGGAGTCTCATATGGGAGATGCTCAGAGAAATGAAATATTATACCTGTATCCATAGCATCTCTTCTGTCACCCCCAAAGGGTGGCTGTTTGATATTCCATTTGGTCACAGGTAGGTTTTCCCAGTCCTCCATCGAATGTAGTTCCACCATTTCCATTGTATGTCTGTTATATCTAAGAAAAGAAGCAGAGGAAGTATATACAAACGTTTTAGTCTCTTAGACGTAAAATAAAAATGACCGATGTTTTATTTTTGTTTTCAGAATCTGTACGTCATTCCAAAATTGTATAATCCCATTCACGAATCTGTAACATTTCCATATCTAAACTAGTAATATAACATAGATTTCGTTCGTCAACCACAAATGGGCAACCATGGACAGCTCTTCCGTGCTATTCTATCCATAGTATAAAGTCTATGGAAATAAGACAGCACAAAGTGCCATTTATTACCAGAATGACTATGAGACCTGGGATACAGTTCCAACAGACAGCTCGCTATTTTCGCTCTGGTACTGGTCGATTCTGGTGATAGATGGCATTTTGTGCTTAATTCGATATATCTTCAATTTCAATAACTAGTCGGATTGCTATAAATTAATAATAATTACACTTGACCATAAAGTCGCTAGCAGATGTCCACAAGAATACACTATTGACAAACAGATTTACTTACATCGAAAGTAAAAAATAAAAAAGAAAAAGGGTATACTTTCCAAGCCAGAGTACACCAAACATTATTAATATGACTAAAGCAAGGGATGAACAAATAGATGCTTGATTACGTAAATTATATGTTTGGGGGATGAAGTAATATTGTGTCAACTTTTTGTCGAAAATTCTTGATACACTTTAAGAAGGTCGTTATGAATAATAGCAACATTGTAGGAAAAACTGTAAGACAATTATGACGTGAATGATAATTTGTGAACAAAAACTGAATAGTGATACTTGAGTAATTAATTTACCAGTTTAGAACCGGATATTTCGGTGACATATGATCAAATTTGCGTAAGCCAAAGATCGAACGTATACAGTTGTTTCGAATAACTTGAATAACGTCTTTCGTGAAAATGTCTAAACATGTGTAGTACACGATATTACCATTGTTTAGTATAGATGTGACCAACGCTTCTCATAGTTTTTCAAGCAACTTAAAATTGTGTAAATAGCTGTTTGCTATAACTATATGTAGCCTTAGATAGGTTTTCTGTGAAAGACTTGTAACATGCTCCATAAACCTTGATTTTGTATAAAAAACAACAGCTTGGTTTTTTGCAGAATCAGAAAATTACAATATCAGTATCTGAATGTTGTGTCCTTCCTTTGGGTGGAAAATAATATCTCAGATTTTTTTTGATTAATAAGAGTACTGCGAATCATCTTCAAAAAACTGGACATGAGAATTATCAATAATTTTGCTTAAGTCGTAAATTACGAATATCAGTGGCCCCAATACAGAGCCATGAGGCACGCCTGAGGGAATTATTGTCACTGGAGACATTTCTTGGTTGACAAAAACACACTGTGTTCTTTGATGAAAGTAACTGTCGAAAATGAAATAAATTGTCAAGTCCTACGTAATTTAATTTAGCAAGTAATAATGGTGTTAATTTTCTTACCTGGGAACAAAACACTGTTTCCCATCTTCAAATATCCTCCTTACAACAGGTTCTGTGTCGATTTCTGTTTTCATACTCAAAAATATTGAGATAGTCTTTGCGTTTCGATATTGCTTCAGGTTGAAGAGCTAAAATTAAGATAGTACCTTTAAACTAGATAACCATTAGTATACGTAATATGAAATCATGAAAAGATCCGACAAATATATAGGTAAACAAGCATGAAAAAGTCGAAAGAAAGTCTATAGTACCAATGTCAGTTATTACTAGGATCGATCACTGTGAGGTGAATGAATAGCAACTGTTTCTTGGTACTGTAAAGGCATCTCGGTTCACGTTGCCATAGTATTTGTACAGACTTTTTTGCCTCTGATATAGTTTATTTAGCTGTGCCTTTGTTCGTTGTTCTATCTAAGCCGTGCTGGTGATTGCCAATAAGCATAAAACAGCTGTACATGGTTAGTCGCACGAAAGAAAGTGGTATTGTTAATTTGATTAAACTTATATCTTTAGGCGTGTAAACTTGCCGACAATTTAAAAGAATCGATATGCTACTACCACCACGACGTAAAACGAAGATTTTGTTCCTTGCCAAACAGTGACATAGTTTGCTTGTGAGGGGCTCCAGAACCAACATCGAAACTTTTCACTTGTGGCAAATCTCATTGGCACTTTTCAGGCACTATATGATGGTGTTTTTAAATTTTGTGCCCGACGTTTTGTTTCTGATAAACCATCATCAACTTTACAACCCAAGTATACCTGTATTATACGTAACATAGATAGCCTCTTTTTCGTTTCAACGATGTATTACATGTTACATTTATTTTCTTAGTAATAATGATTTTTTTTTATTTCGTTTCTTTTTCGTCTTCAACATTGTTCTAGTCAATCATATGCTGATGATATGCAGGTTTTTCATAATTTCTGTCCGAACAACTACCATTTAGCTAACAACCTTATCAATCAAGATCTGCAATACTTATGCACATATGCTGAAAAACATAATTTACGTCTAAACGCATCGAAATCGACAGCTATACTTTTTTGCTCCAAGAAAAAACGTACTTTCCTCAAATCAAAGTTAAATTTATCAATAAATAATAGTATCCTAATATTTTCCCATTCTGCAAAAAATTTAGGTTTGTACTTGGATGAAGATTTCAGATTTCAGGAGCATGTTGGCTATGTGTGTAAGTCTAGTTATTTTAGACTCAGGCTTCTATATGCAAGTAAAACTGTTTTAAATAGAAAAATTAAGAAAATGTTATGCGAGTCACTCATACTCAGTAAAATCGCTTACTGCAACATAGTTTATTATCCCTGTCTGGATGAAATCACAAAATACAGACTGCAAAAAATTCAAAACTCATGTAGTCGTTACATAAACAATTTAAGAAGGTACGATCATGTTTCTCACTCAATATCTTCAATGAATTGGTTGAAAATTTCTGATCTTTTCAAATACAACTTTGTTACATTTGTCGTAAAAATATTAAAAACTTCTGTTCCCGTTTATCTTATGCAAAAGCTTGTTCGTAGGAATTTAATTCACAATTTGAATACGCGCAACATTAATCTCCTGACAATGCCACAACATAGGACAGCCATTTTTCAACGGTCTTTTACGTATAATGCGGTGAAATTGATCAACTCTTTCGAACAATGTTTCATCAGCAACTTTTCTAAAAAAAAATATAAAAACTACTTATTGAGCTCTTAGGTTATTGTCCTCTCTTTGAATCGTACATATTATGTTTTTTGTTCTAATCGTACGCATTATGTCATATTTATTAATTCTTCTTTTACTATTATTCTTCTTTTTCCTTTTCTTTTTCAGTTTTTTTTTATTTTATTTTGAAGGTAGTAATAAGCATTGACATTTATGGTTAAGTATAAATGGCCATTGGCCAGACTTCGCCATTTGTAAGGATACATAATTATGTATGTGTTACAATAAAGTCCATTGAATTGAATTGAATTGAATTGAGTTTAATTGAGCATTGCAAACAAATGCTTGATGTAAGATTATCTGATTACTGATAGATCTAGTGATATTCAGAATAACAAATAAATTTTTGACTTTTTTTTCTGACAGTAGAATTCAAAACATCACAAAATGAGCTTCCATCACACGTCCTCGTAACTGATGCTTAGTTTCAAACGTATGCTGACAAACTTGGTTGTCACTAAAACCCCAAACAAAAAAGACCAGAGGAGTTAAATCCGGGGAACGTGGTGGCCAGAACACTACACTGGAGGTTCCAATACATATTCCAGGTAATCGCTGAGAAAGATACTCTAAAACTTGCCTAGTGTTACCGCTGCCATTCACATAAAACAGTTCTTTCTAGATTGAACCTTTTTTACTTTTAGACTTACCTTTTCCACGACCTTTTTGGACTGTTTTTGCCTTTCTGGATTGGGAATGTCTTTGATAATTTGCTTCATTTTGTTTCTAAGGTTCGCCTTGGATGTTTTCACTTCCACCATCTTAATAACTGCAATGATACAATTTGAATATCAATTAGTTTTTTGCATAATATTAACAATACCGAAATAAACATTTCTGATAATATTATCACAGTTTCTGTCAATCACGTAATATATCGGAATGATTCAACGAATATTTTAGTACGTCTCACTAATTTTGTTGTGTTGAGGACTAAGACGTCAACAGTTGGGCCATTCATTCTACATACGTTAGCAAACAGTTTTTTCTTTTATCGCTGATTATGCGATTTTCTCTGGTATCAGCTTCTCACTTTCATCCTCAACAAAATGCCAGTAGTTAGATATCTTACTACATCACATTATTTACCTTCAAACAGATATTGAAATCCCAAAATTTTACGTTACGCTCTAGATCAGACTCTATACAGGGTGGCCCATCCATGTGTGGACGGAATATTACTCATAAACAAATACATTTTGGGAAAATCTATTAACGGCATGATATAAATGACATTCGAGGGCACATTTCCAAAATATTGGCAATTATACAGGGTGTCCCAATTTTGACCTACATATCAAAGTTGTTATTTTTTAAATGGAATGCCTCACATTTTATTGCATATTTGGATAAACCAATTCAAAAGAAGAAAATTGATATACAGTACTATGGGGTTTTGGTAATTAGCTACTGAGATATAAGGTGTTTTATCTAGAAAAACCCCCCACTTCGGCAACCCGCTATTTAGAAATTTATCTTATTTGTTACGTTATTGAATTTTAATTTTGCTCATACAGGGTGGTCATATTTTCGAGCAGTTTTTGTAGATTAGGTCTTGAGTAGTGATATTGTTTGTTTATGTTGTTGTTATAGTTGTTTTTCTCTATTACGCTTGAAGCTGATTTATACTGTTCTGATTGTTATTAGTTTTTACGTCAAATCTGTACTCTTAGTGGCAATATGGAACTAGCCCACTGTTTGTCTTTTGTTTCCATGGACGATGTGATTTTTTCCTTAATTTTGGTGTGTTGTATTAAAAGCTTAATAACTCAAGATCTAGTGGTTTTATCTGAATCAAACCTTATACAAAAAAGCTTATAAAAAATTGAATCCAAACTTGCACAAATATACAGGGTGATGCATTTGACATTTTTGAGAAAAATAACAATTTGCGTTTTTGACCACCCTATATGAGCAAAAATAAAATTCGAAAAATTAACAAATAAGATAAGGCCTGAGGTGTGTAAGTTTTGTATACAAATTTGAGCACTCCAAAATTCAAAATGGCGGATTGAGAGGTTGCCGAAGAGGACAATTTTTCTGGACAAAATACCTTACACCTCAGTAGCTAATTACCAAAACCCCATAGTATGTTATATCAATCGTCTTCTTTTGATTGGTTTATCCAAATATGCAATAAAATCTGAGGCCTTCCATTTGAAAAATCACAGCTTTGATATTTAGGTCAACACTGGGACACCCTGTATAACAGCCAATATTTTAGAAATGTGCCCTCAGATGTCATGTATAGTATCTCATGAATAGAAATGTATTTGTTTATGAGTAATATTCCGTCCACACATGGACGGGCCACCCTGTATACGCATGTTTCGCCTTTGAAAGTAACTCAAATTTCAAACTTATGGCATCTGTGAAATTTACGCATTTAGATATTGTCGTGGTTTAAAAAAAGGGAGGCTAAACCTTTTTAATAAGAATATTATAGAATTTTACCTCAAACCTAAATATGTCCAAAATTAGTGATCTGACAAAAATTCCTTGAGACAAAATTTATGGAAAATTAGCATTTTATAAAATCCACTTCTTTTCGCCAAAAAGGTCACTGGAATAGAAATTATTTTCTTCTAGGTGTCCAGGTGCCCCAGTTGCTACGTCACTGGTTTAGTCTGGACCGGAAAGCTCTATGTTTATTGCTTATGATGTTCACTGAATGTCTAAAATTTTAGCTCAGTATCCTACACGGTCGGTAGATATTTTTTTTCAGTTTTGTAAATAAATCATCACCCTGTATCTCGGTAGGAGAGAATCTTTGGACCCATATTTATAGAAACTTTTTTTGTTATTTTTGAATGTACCTGCTACCCTATAAGTATTGACACGTATGTATTTTCAACTTTCATCAACTAGTTGATTGATCCTTAAAAGGCCAAAGTTGAATCTTAATTTGCAATAAAATATAAGAGACTTCGTTTAAAAAGGTTACAGATTTTGTCAATTTTTGTTTTTGTGTCTTGGTGTTCTATTATAGTTAGTAGAAAGTGTTGTGACCATGCGTTCTTATAAAAATAATAAGTTAGGTATATATTAGGAAATGAGTGAATGATCGACAAAAATGCCAAAATTACGAATTTTGGGCTTTTGAAGAACAATTAAGAGTGTTATAAATTTAAATTATTTCCAGGGCAAAAAATCACGCCTTTTTATAGACTTTGATTATTTTTCTTGATATTGCAATAATGTAAACGATTTTTTGTTTATCTATTTAAACATTAAAAAGTACTTTTCGTACCATTTACTATCATCATAAATACTACGAAGATAAATATCAAGGTACGTATTCTTTGTTTGCCTTCCCATGGACTTTTTTGTGCTTCACTGCCTCACAACGGAGACAACTTTTTGGATAAATCTCGCAAGATTAGTGAAACTTAGCCATATTTGGCAACACCGAGCAGTAGCTACATGGAGAGGGAGCTTAATGCTTCAACACCTGCAGCAAGCATTTCAAAGCTCCGGCGGTAGATGCCGACAAGCATACCGGACGCTCTGATATCTGATCGCCGCATTGCCAAGTGTGATAGAATTTCTATAGATTTGCGATAAAGTATGTGATTTTTTGAAGCTTTATAAGTTATGTAGATTTAATCATCGATTAACGCATTCTACCTGATGATAGCGAATCTTATGCTATATTCCCGCGTCCAAAAAGTTATTCGAGGTAAAATCAAATATCGTAGCGTCATCTATGATAATTCGTCACACCGGTGAAAAGGTTAGTTTGATAGATGGCAGTATTGTCTGCAATGTCGGAACACATCATGATACTATAAATGCTCACTGCGCGATTTAATTTCGCTCGTCGGTTTTAAATAATTGCATTCGAGCGTTTCCTGTTGAATATTTGGAATACTCATATTTGTTTAACATTTTTTGTTTTACCGATTTCACATAGTAGTTTTAGTATTATTTATAAATTTTATATTATGTGTAATGTATTATTTATATTATTTAATGAAGTAAATCAGTGTAGACAGAATACATTACTGTTACAAAGCTATCACTTTGACAAGTTGAAAGGTTCTACTTACGACTTAAGCATTGAAGATGGCCGTACGTTTCGAACTTCGAACTAAAATTTCTTTAGAGCTCCAAATAAAGGAACTTACTTTTTTATTGGAGAATATTGGATTCAAATAATAAATTTACGCACCAGTGACATATATTAATTTGTTAAATTATTATACGAGTATATGACATTTTTATAATTCTTTATAAAAAGTTATGTGTAAATGGTTTTTTAATCTTTTCTATTGGTAGGAGTTAATAAAAGTGTTTTTCTATTGGTAAGCAGTTTTATTGAGTTCATTTTACAATTTTCATTCCGAATTCTGGATTTTTCTTTTATATCTCGATTTAACATCCGTATTTCAAAACAGGTATTTTACACCTAAAAAAAGATATCAGGCATTTGCACTTACCCTAACTTATGAAGAAAAGGTATTTTTGAAAGCTTGCACCCACAGTCTAGCGGAAACTAAATTTTGTCGCGAGTTTCTAGTCGAACAGTACAATGAAAAACAGTAGCCTAACTTATCGTACGCCACTGTAAACTTTGTGTAGGCGTGTGCAGATCCCAAAGACACACGGCGTTAACAGTGACCGTGAATGAATATTAATATACTCGTACATATAATTTGAAGCCCTGCGTGGAGACATTGTGATATATAAAATTACATGACATCTAGGGTTTATACACACCATCGGGGGGCTCGATACGCGCTAGGCGCTGTTTCAAAACGCACCACACAAGTAGGAATGAGGAATAAGAATCACTCTTTGATGTTTGATAAAGCGCATATCCGCCGATAAAATTAATCGAAGCAGCGAATTAGTGGCAAAAATTCCTATTCTCTAAATTATGAAAACTTCAACCTTTGCCTAAACCAAATGAGAGGTTTCGTGCAGAACCTAGAGATGTTTTACAGAATTTTAGTCGACACGATGTGGCAACACCGCTCGGCGAACAGCGTTATCCGTGCTGTTACGGTGGTCGTATGACCGACCTATTACAAAATAGCTATTTGCCTCTGTCCATATGATTTTAGAAAAATATAAATTTACCTGTTGTCGACACCATCCTTGTAATCATGTTCCATGGACGGCTATGACCTAATTTGCAGCTGCAGCTGTTAGCGAGCCCAATATACGATGTGATCAGTTCAGGGACATGTGTTAGGAACCATCGCGTCAGAGTAACTGAATGGTATGCTTTTGGTAGTGGTTATCCGCTGACGGTGAAATGATACGGTTTTGTTTTGATTTTGTCTTGAACTGTGGGGGGCATTTCATACTTAACTGACATACCTATACTGCTACTGTTATTACAGTGCTTATGATTCATATACAGGGTGACTTCGAAGTTGAGTCATTTATTTTAACAGTGAGTAGATCTGATCAAAAGAAATGTTTTTTTCCTTTAACATTTTTGTGGTAAAATTAAAGTAACAAAGTTATAGCCCTTTAGAAGTTTCAGTACCGCCCTGTCTCAATAATAATATTATGTGCTCGTGTTTGGCAACAACGGATATACTCCGCCTTATCGGTTCATCGCATCGAAAACAAAAAAGCGAAAGAATTTGAAACGCTGATCACGATGTTTTTATTCAATCAATGTGTCAGTCGGTAACGCGTGAGTGAATAGTGGTGTTTGCTGCGTCGCTCAAACGAAATAAAAAATGGCTCATATTTATGCGGATCGGTTTCCCAATCGAGTGCAACCAACCCCTCGTGCCTTTGTTAATGTAGTACAACGGGCTCGTGAATCAGGTGACTTAAGACCTCACAGGGGAGGGCATGCCGGTGCTCCAAGACCTCACGATCAAATACAGGTCCGCACTGAAATACTTGTCGGGAGGATACTTTATAAAACAAGGTAAACAATTTTTTTAATTTTTTTTTTATTTTTACACACATATTTTGGTTTATCTTCCTTCTACAATCATTATCTGAAAATTAATGACTCAACTTCAAAGTCACGCATAAAATTTAAAAAAGTAGCTAAAAATTATTTATCAAAAATTTATATAAAAAATTATTTTAATAAAAAATAAGGACGTATAAAATTTAAAAAAGTAGCTTAAAATTATTTATCAAAAATTTATATAAAAAATTATTTTAATAAAAAATAAGGACGTAAAAAATTTAAAAAATATTTTTAGTTATTTTACTTATTATTTTTAAAATTTTTAGTGTCCTTATTTTTTATTAAAAAGTAGATGGGAGGGATTCACTAATAAATAAGTCAATAGAAAATTTTATTTCTTTTTTATACTTTCAAAGTATATACTTATAACAAGTTCATAGACTAATTAAAAAAGATTATTTTATCTCAAATTTTGTTTATAATGGGATTAATCAAATAATAAAAAAAGTATAAAATAGTTAGTAACTGGCCTGTAAGAATATAGGGGTCTTCTACAGGGCGCGCTCCAATTCAAGTTAGTAAAATAACAATAGTGAATATTGATCAAAATAAAAGTTTATTAATAGGGTAAAATTGGGTTCTTGAGAATTTTTTTTTATTAGTAAAGGGGATAATGTATAAGGGGAGAGCGCAAAATATTGATCACATTCTGCACGGGTATCACGTATCTTCTATTCTACAAGATGTTAAATTAGCACTTAGGTACGGTACGGTTGCCTAAACTGCTAATCTGCTTCTGAGATGGCAGTACTGGAGGCCTAAACTGTAAGTTGTATGTGTTGATGATAATTACATTGGGTTCTTGTCTCAAATACACTCAATTGAGATTCAAAGCTAGAAATTAGTTGCGCATCCACTTTTTCTTATCTATTCTGGAAATTACATACCTATACAAATTTGCTGAATTTAAAAAATGAAAGAGATAAGAAATAATTATATTCACTGTACACTGTCGAATTACAAGCCAGATACATGCAAACAGTAATTACACACAACGCGGGCGCGGTGGTGATTTCTTGTAATTCTCCTCAGCTTTTCGTAATTTGTAACTTTGAACATAACCTCTCTTCAGAAAGCACAACATATAAATCACCCGTCATATTCGGCATATTCAGTAATGATTTTCTCACACAGCAAATATCACTGATTTTATACACATGCAGACCAATACACATAATCATCGGTCGCGATCTTGCTATTCAACAAACTTTCTTCACATAGATACCGGATCACTCAGCCTCACAAAACTATGCAACCGATAATGCGTAGTTTGGTTGAGTGATTCCTCTATAGATGGACGTTCACAACGATCCTAGTGAGCAAACGTGGAATGAATGTTTGCGCCCTAAAAACTACCTAGTCTGCAAGTTGCCATCTTATAGGTTTTTTTGACGTTTTATAGGTTTTTTGCTGGGCAAAATTGCCATTTCTAAGGCAAATTATAGGGTGAATGTGCCCAGTAACCCGGACAAATGTTATATTATTGGTAAAAACTTGAATATCTGAAATCCTATACTTGCTGGTGTTTGGTAAACATGTAGTCAACGTTCTTGGAGGGTCAAAGTAAGACTACCAATATCCCTATATATATCTCCATCTCCCTCAAACATACACATGCAACCTTCCCCTGTGTGTGAACGTTTGTTCGGTAAGCTTGTATACATACGTTATTTAGTTGTGTGTCTCCATCCTGAAAACTTTGTCGTTACGTATGAGTGCCTTCAATCATATTTGTCAGAGTGACAACTTACTTGACATCGGCGTACAATTTCAGTTGTCCAGCAATCTTCACTATAAAATTGTACAATGCCCGGAAATACGATCAATGGAGAAGGCCGTCAGATCGTGCTAAATTTATTAGTAGAGAGAGTATTTCCAAGAAGAGAATGAAAACAGCGGTCCCCTGTTACCCACTTCATGCGTACTGGAGAGAGTAGCAGATGCGCTGAGGATTAGTCTGCGCAGTGTTCAGCGAATAAAATCAGAAAATAAGAAAGGTTTGCCTATAGTAACACTTGAGGAAACTCTCAAAATCAAAAAATGCAAGACCGATGATGTAAGTGATGCCGTCAAAACAGAAGTTAGGAGCACTTTCTACGATAAATACGACTGAAGCCCCAGCCAGTGGACGGACGGCGAAAGATAACAAATAATGTGGAGTCTGGGCAGTGATATTGTGCCCGACTACTGGAATGAACGACTTTTCATGGCATCCCAACAACCTGATGCTCCCATCTTTCCGCCATTTTTTCACGAGACTGTGAAATAAAATTTCTCTTTTCCACTTCTTCCGAGAATGGATTGAAATATGTAAACAGTATGATAGTTCAAAGTCGACAGTGCATGACCCGATTAAATGAAAATATTAGTTTCTTGTTCATTTTTACCTAGTTTGTATATATTTTTTGATAAAAATATCTATATTAAATGGACTCAGTATGAGTGTCTTTAATTCACTTTCCTCAAAGTCTTAATGACAACTGATTTGAAGTTTCTATTCTACTACCACAAATTTTTAAATACGGTTCTGTCTAAAACAGACCAATGAAATGCTGTCCGACAAAATAGCAACTTTTCTTTATAAAATTACAGGAACATCTATAAGCTAAGTATGTATTTGTTATCGGCGAAAAGTTAACAAGATACATGATCACCTTCAAAAACATTAGTTCTTGTTATGTTGAACACAAAATCCGTAATTACACTTTGTATTCTACTTTTGTCTAAACTGTACGACCCCTGGTACATTCACCCTATCTACATCAGTGCGTTTCAAAAAATTGCGTCAAGTCAAAAAAGTTGACTCTGCACTTCTCACGCGGCACTGTCACCGTTTCGTAAAGGATTATGTTTGGCACAAGAAAGATCTTTCACTGAAACAAAGCAGTTACGTCATATTTACTAAATTTGATTGCCAACCTTAATGCAAGATAGATCCTAAATTGGTACGTAGAGTTTGAACCTCCCGGGTGCATTTATGTTGGTAACAGTTTTCTGTGTTGTGACATTGTCGCAAAGCTTGTCAGGAAATTACGTCAACGGCTGCTGTTTATTTGTGGTTTATTATCTAGGATATAGTAGTTTTAATTATTGTGGCAACCATGTGCGTCACTGTCATTATTTGACGTTGTGACGTAATTCCTTTGATTCAGTGAATATTATGTAGGGTATTGTCGGGAACAGTGGCTCACTTTTTTTCAGTTGACTCTAATATTCATCGAGTCTTCACCAAATGGCTTGAAACTCGGCCAATGTGGGCAGAGGTTATGAAATTTTTATCCTGTGCCATCGAAATGTCCACAAAGGGTGCCAAAAAACAACCAATAACGATTTTGTAAAAAATTAGAAATGAGCCACTGTGCACAGGTAGGGTGCTACAGTGACACACCCCAGTGGTCCACAGTGGTTCTAACAGTACACAGAGACTCAAGACAAACCGAGTTAATCAAAAGTACGGGAATGCTGTTGAAATCTTTATTTCTGAGTCACATTTGAATATCTCGGAAAAAACACTGATCAAAATAAACTTATTCCCATTACTATATTAAAAAACAAAATGAGCGCATCGTAGCTGTTAACATTGAAATAATCAAAATCACACATACATCAGACTCCTATTTGCCTTACAAAACACTGAAGAACTTCTACTTTAATAAGTCTCATCGTAAGCATAGATAATAACAATAATAATAATCAGCAAGCAAATAAAATTAAGTCTTCTACTTAACTTACAAATGTACACATTACTTTGTAAGTATTCTTTTGTACTTATAATGTTAAAAAAAACTTTTATTACAATCAGAGACACAAACCAATCTTACTCCTTAAGCTCATCGAATGATGAAAGTTTGTAGAACAAGTCAAACATAAAAATTAATAACTCCATAACCCTTATACCTCTTAGCATATCCGAAGTTGGGATAAATCTAGTCCAAAATTATAGTACGGCCTAGAAGAAGTGCCAACAATTGAAGGCTTTGGCAGAAGTAATTTCAAATCACTTTCTTTTATAACAGAAAGGTCAGGCTTATCAGGCATGTGAAATTTGCTAGTACCAGGCGTACGCCTCAGAAATGATATGTAGAATTCATTATTCTCATTTCTACCTTCTATCACCTTTCCAACGTAAAGCGATGTAAGTTTTTTTGTTGTAAATTGTACAATCACATATTCGCCCTCTAGTGGCGCACGAGTTAGAGATTTGGTTAGGTGCCTTTCAGTTATAATCACTGATTCTTCGTCAGAGTTTTCGTCTTCATCTTCTGCTGCCCAGTCTGTATCATCATCAGATTCAGCATATTCCACTGTTTCCTTCTCTTGATCATTATCTTCTTCATCACTTTGTAATACTT